CAGCGCCCCACTCTTAAGGAATACATAACGGCGACGCTAGCAACTTTGTTACTTAGGTTGGAATAAATTGAGACCCCCCCTAAATGAAAAAAAAATCACTGCCTGCCCCCTGCCCCCTGCCCCCTGCCCCCTGCCCCCTGCCCCCTGCCCCCTGCCCCCTGCCCCCTGCCCCCTGCCCCCTGCCCCCTGCCCCCTGCCCCCTGCCCCCTGCCCCCTGCCCCCTGCCCCCTGCCCCCTGCCCCCTGCCCCCTGCCCCCTGCCCCCTGCCCCCTGCCCCCTGCCCCCTGCCCCCTGCCCCCTGCCCCCTGCCCCCTGCCCCCTGCCCCCTGCCCCCTGCCCCCTGCCCTGCCTCCCAGTGCGATGGCCTACGCTGGCTCTACCTTTTGGGAACTGTCCTGGATAGTTTAATTATTGTGGACAGCCTGGTGGAACTCGTCTACCTCTGGCTTGAGGTGGGGCCCGGAAGCAGGTCATAGTTGCAGGCAGGAATGGATTGGCTTTGGGTATCTGATACCGCTCTATGCTAGGGGCGCCTGAAACAACCATAACGGCAGCAGCGTGGCTATCTTAGTTAGCCAAGTTTAATTATTGAAATTTGAAAACTTGCTGAATTGTCATCCAAGGTTTCTATGCCTGGCAATGGTTCAGGGAACAGCAATGTCGGGTTCGAGGCCAACCCTTATCACTTTATATATTATAGCCTCCGACCTAACAGCGGCTCGCTCCGAACCCCGTCTCGGTCTTTTTCCTGCTTATCACCTGGCCTCCGCCACACTTTATGTTATGCCGCAGCTGAGGTTCTTCCTGCGGCTGGTGATGCTGCCTTCTGCCCACCTAATGTGCAAGGTGCGTGCGTCGTACATGCTTCCGGGCGGGGCAGACGCAGCGAGCGTCCCCCGATGCTGCCTTGTGGCGCATTTGCGGGTCAACAGACAGCTGCAGCCCCACACAGCACCTCCGGGACCTGCCGCCTACTTCATCCTCAACGACATAGGAAGCCCAGCCACACGATTTTTCCTCAGTTGATGTGCGCCAGCTGAACTGGGTACCGCATGCTTTCCGTACACACGCGCCCACTACGTAGATCCGTACATGAATCTGCCGGGCTGATGATGGTGGGACAGCCCCCACGTCCGTGATGAGATGCGGGGCTGTGGGTGGACGAAGTGCGCATGAAGGGGCCTGCTGGCGATGAAGGCGGGTGTGTTGCAGCACGCCGCATATGTTACCTGCTGGCTGGTTGGCTGGTTAACTTTGGCAGGTTCAGCAACGACAGAGCTTACGTTCAAATGACGCGCCGCATGCGGCCTGGAGGGGGCTGGGCGGTATCGCTACATGCCGCGGGGAGACGGGGCCGCCCAGTAGGTGCCGCCCTGCAGCGATGGAGGGATGTGGTGTGAACGGTTCGTCCCCGATTCGTAAAATCTGCTTCCCAACAATTTGCTGAGACGCCAATGCCAATGCCAATGTCAATGCCCATGTCAATGCCAATACCAATGCCAATCCATGCAGATGTGGCTGATTTCCGTGGCGGCGTTCGTGTCCTTCGAACGGCTGTTCCGGAACTCCGCGGTTGGAGATTTACCGCCGCAGTCGCATAACTTGGTACGAATTTACCCGCCTTTTTGGTTTTGTTTCAATTGCTGTTATTTACTAGTGTTTGTTTCT